AACACTGTACAGATATAGATCATGACATCTCCCCTAGGACCACCTCTATATAGACTTTGTATCTACACACTGTACATATATAAATCATGACATCTCCCCTAGGACAACCTCTATATAGCCTATGTATCTACACACTGTACATATATAAATCATAACATCTCCCCTAGGACAACCTCTATATAGCCTATGTATCTACACACTGTACATATATAAATCATAACATCTCCCCTAGGACAACCTCTATATAGCCTATGTATCTACACACTGTACATATATAAATCATTACATCTCCCCTAGGACAACCTCTATATAGACTATGTATCAACACACTTTACAAATATAGACCAGTATACAGTACAGTTACAGTTGACAACAATTAAGCATTCCGAGGACAACCTCTATATAGACTATGTATCTACACACTGTATATATATAAATCATGACATCTCCCCTAGGACCACCTCTATATAGACTTCATGACATCTCCCCTAGGACAACCTCTATATAGCCTATGTATCTACACACTGTACATATATAAATCATTACATCTCCCCTAGGACAACCTCTATATAGCCTATGTATCTACACACTGTACATATATAAATCATGAGATCTCCCCTAGGACCACCTCTATATAAACTATGTATCAACACACTATACATATATAAATCATGACATCTCCCCTAGGACGATCTCTATATAGACTACGTATCTACACATTATACATATATAAATCATGACATCTCCCATAGGACAACCTCTATATAGACTATGTATCTACACACTGTACATATATAAATCATTACATCTCCCCTAGGACAACCTCTATATAGACTAGGTATCAACACACTGTACAAATATAGACCAGTATACAGTACAGTTACAGTTGACAACAATTAAGCATTCCGAGGACAACCTCTATATAGACTATGTATCAACACACTGTACATATATAAATCATGACATCACCCCTAGGACCACCTCTATATAAACTATGTATCAACACACTATACATATATAAATCATGACATCTCCCCCAGGACAACCTCTATATAGACTATGTATCAACACACTTTACAAATATAGACCAGTATACAGTACAGTTACAGTTGACAACAATTAAGCATTCCGAGGACAACCTCTATATAGACTATGTATCAACACTATACATATATAAATCATGACATCTACCCTAGGACCATCTCTATATAGACTATGTAAGATCATGACATCTCCCCTAGGACCACCTCTATATAGACTATGTATCAACACACTTTACAAATATAGACCAGTATACAGTACAGTTACAGTTGACAACAATTAAGCATTCCGAGGACAACCTCTATATAGACTATGTATCAACACTGTACGGATATAGATCATGACATCTCCCCTAGGACAACCTCTATATAGCCTATGTATCTACACACTGTACATATATAAATCATGACATCTCCCCTAGGACGATCTCTATATAGACTACGTATCTACACATTATACATATATAAATCATGACATCTCCCCTAGGACAACCTCTATATAGACTATGTATCAACACACTGTACAAATATAGACCAGTATACAGTACAGTTACAGTTGACAACAATTAAGCATTGAATACAAAAACAGTTCAATGCATACATTTACGTTTTCTCTCCGTTTTATGTTCATTTTCAACTTATTAGTCATAATAAAAAAAAAAAAATCCCGCTTATGGACAGTCCGCACAATTTTGTTCAATAGTTGGAAAAGCGTGTTATCGTATGCTAATTGGCAAACAAAGTAGTACTTTGAAAATTTAACAAACACTTACAATATCAATACAATTGCATATGATTTGTCTATAGGGTGATTTAAGTTTATTAATAGAAATCTGAGCTGAAAATTAGATTTGAAATTGTTTTGATTTCCCCCCTGGAACAAATTACGCGCATGGATAAATACGGTGAACACCCTAATCCAACCTTGCCCTCCACGAGGGAGTTATTTTTAGAAGTTGAATGAGCAGAGAGAAAAGTTCAAATTTGAGAAGAATCCAGGCATGAATTTATTTGTTGATTGTATGGGAATCTGACTACAGTTGGTGGATTCTACAACAGTCTCGTTATTTGACATGTCATCAGAAACTGAGGAAACCGTGGCTGATAGACACATTATACTGATAGCGTTTGAAGTGAGTGATCTTGCGACAGAGCACAGGTGTTTATTACAGTCTGAAATACACATATGCCTTGGGTATGTTTGTGTGCTGTGACTCATATCAGTAGGTCTATAGCATATGGGTATTTCAGACATTTGTAACCACCCCCTCTGGATCAGTGCAGTGTAACAGACAATATTTCTGATAAATTGCATGAGTGTTCAAATTGATTCCATTGGTTATTTCAATCAATGTGCATTTTGTACGATATTGCAGACCTTGTTTTTGTTTTAGTTGTAATAAAAGTTCTTTTTTCTTTTTTCTTTTCTTTTCTTTATACATTTTCAATTACAGAGTCAAGTCTCACAATGCCCAACGATATTTCAGCAGCCGTGGTGCATGGTATTTAAAGTCCCATCAACGAAACAGCTTTCAAATAGAATAAATATAGTGACAATGCCACGCAAATGTAAATATTAAAACTTCAAACTTACAGAGAAGATGATCATTTTGCCATCAAACAATGCCATGAAGTGGGGCGGCTCCTTCCCTTGCACAACCCGTACCTGTAACAACACAAGCAGTTTTTACCATATTCTTGTTGGTTCTAGGGTAATATTTACTCATTTGTTGCAGGGTAACATTACTGTTATGTTATTGGGTAACATTTCAAATGTGTTTTGTGGGGTAACATTACTGTTGTGTGTTGTAGGGTAACATTTCTGTTGTGTTGTGTAACATTTCAAATGTTTTGTGGGGTAACATTACTGTTGTGTGTTGTAGGGTAACATTTCTGTTGTGTGATGTAGGGTAACATTTCTGGTGTGTGCTTGTGCTGTAGGGTAACATTTATGTTGTGTGTTGTGGGGTAACATTACTCTTGTGTGTTGTGGGGGTTACATTACTGTGATTTGTTGTAGGGTCACATCATTGTTTTGTGATGTGGTGTAACATTACTGGTGTGTGTTGTGGGGTAACATACCGGTGTACATGTGTTGTGGGGTTACATTACTGGTGTGTGTTGTGAAGTTATATTACTGGAGTGTGTTGTTGGTTTACATTACTGGTGTGTGTTGTGAGGTTACATTACTGGTGTGTGTTGATGGTTTACAATACTGGTGTGTGTTGTTGGGTAACAATACTGGGGTGTGTTGTTGGATAACATTACTGGTGTGTGTTGTTGGGTAACATTACTGGTGTGTGTTGATGGTTTACATTACTGGTGTGTGTTGTGGGGTAACATTACTGGTGTGTGTTGTGGGGTTACATTACTGGTGTGTGTTGTGGGGTAACAATACTGGTGTGTGTTGTGGGGTAACAATACTGGTGTGTGTTGATGGTTTACATTACTGGTGTGTTATGGGGTTACATTACTGGTGTGTGTTGTTGGGTAACATTACTGGTGTGTGTTGATGGTTTACATTACTGGTGTGTGTTGTGGTGTAATATTACTGGTGTGTTGTGGGATTACGTTACTGGTGTGTTGTGGGATTACATTACTGGTGTGTGTTTTGGGGTTACATAAATGGTGTGTGTTGTCCGGTTACATTACTGGTGTGTGTTGTGAGGATACATTACTGGTGTGTGTTGTTGGGTAACATTACTGGTGTGTGTTGTAGGATTACATTACTGGTGTGTGTTTTGGGGTTACATTACTGGTGTGTGTTGTGGGGTTACATTATTGGTGTGTGTTGTGAGGTTACATTACTGGTGTGTGTTTAGGGGTTACATTCATGGTGTGTTGTGGGGTTACATTACTGGTGTGTGTTTAGGGGTTACATTACTGGTGTGTGTTGTGGGATTACATTACTGGTGTGTGTTGTGGGGTTACATTACTGCCTTGTATTGTGGGGTAACATTACTGGTGTGTGTTTAGGGGTTACATTCATGGTGTGTTGTGGGGTTACATTACTGGTGTGTGTTGTGGGGTTATATTCCTGTTACATTGTGGGTCAACATTACTGGTGTGTGTTGTTGGGTAACATTACTGGTGTGTGTTGTGGGATTTCATTACTGGTGTGTGTTGTTGGGTAACATTACTGGTGTGTGTTGTTGGGTAACATTACTGGTGTGTGTTGTTGGGTAACATTACTGGTGTGTGTTGTNTGTTGGGTAACATTACTGGTGTGTATTGTCCGGTTACATTACTGGTGTGTGTTGTGGGATTACATTACTGGTGTGTGTTGTGGTGTAACATTACTGGTGTGTGTTTTGGTGTAACATTACTGGTGTGTGTGATGTGGTGTAACATTACTGGTGTGTTGTTTGGTAACACTACTGGTGTGTGTTGTGATGTAACATTACTGGTGTGTGTTGTGGTGTAACATTACTGGTGTGTGTTGTCCGGTTACATTACTGGTGTGTGTTGCGAGGATACATTACTGGTGTGTGTTGTTGGGTAACATTACTGGTGTGTGTTGTGGGAATACATTACTGGTGTGTGTTTTGGGGTTACATTACTGGTGTGTGTTGTGGGGTTACATTACTGGTGTGTGTTGTCAGGTTACATTACTGGTGTGTGTTTAGGGGTTACATTACTGGTGTGTGTTGAGGGGTTACATTACTGGTGTGTGTTGAGGGGTTACATTACTGGTGTGTGTTGTGGGGTAACATTACTGGTGTGTGTTGTGGGGTTACATTACTGGTGTGTGTTTAGGGGTTACATTACTGGTGTGTGTTGTGGGGTTACATTACTTCCTTGTATTGTGGGGTAACATTACTGGTGTGTGTAGTGGGGTTACATTCATGGTGTGTTGTGGGGTTACATTACTGGTGTGTGTTGTGGGGTTATATTGCTGTTACATTGTGGGTCAACATTACTGGTGTGTGTTGTTGGGTAACATTATTGGTGTGTGTTGTCCGGTTACATTACTGGTGTGTGTTGTGGGGTTATATTGGTGTTGCATTGTGGGTCAACATTACTGGTGTGTGTTGTTGGGTAACATTACTGGTGTGTGTTGTGGGATTACATTACTGGTGTGTGTTGTTGGGTAACATTACTGGTGTGTGTTGTTGGGTTACATTACTGGTGTGTGTTGTTGGGTAACATTGCTGGTGTGTGTTGTGGGATTTCATTACTGGTGTGTGTTGTTGGGTAACATTGCTGGTGTGTGTTGTGGGATTTCATTACTGGTGTGTGTTGTTGGGTAACATTACTGGTGTGTGTTGTGGGGTTACATTACTGGTGTGTGTTTAGGGGTTACATTACTGGTGTGTGTTGTGGGATAACAATACTGATGTGTGTTGTGGGGTTACATTACTGGTGTGTTGTGGGGTTACATTGCTGTTACATTGTTGAGTAACATTACTGGTGTGTTGTGGGGTAACATTACTGGTGTGTGTTGTGGGGTTACATTACTGGTGTGTTGTGGGGTTACATTGCTGTTACATTGTTGGGTAACATTACTGGTGTGTTGTGGGGTAACATTACTGGTGTGTGTTGTGGGGTTACATTACTGGTGTGTTGTGGGGTAACAATACTGGTGTGTGTTGTTGGGTTACATTACTGGTGTGTTGTGGGGTAACATTACTGGTGTGTGTTGTTGGGTAACATTACTGGTGTGTATTGTGGGGTAACATTATTGGTGTGTGTTGTGGGGTAACATTACTGGTGTGTGTGATGTGGTGGTTTACATTACTGGTGTGTGTTGTGGTGTAACGGTTACATTACTGGTGTGTGTTGTGGGGTAACATTATTGGTGTGTGTTGTGGGGTAACATTACTGGTGCGTGTTGTGGGGTAACATACCGGTGTACATGTGTTGTGGGGTTGTATTACTGGTGTGTGTTGTGGGGTTACATTTCTGGTGTGTTGTGGGGTAACAATACTGGGGTGTGTTGTTGGGTTACATTACTGGTGTGTTGTGGGGTAACAATACTGGTGTGTGTTGTGGGGTTACATTACTGGTGTGTGTTGTTGGGTAACAATACTGGTGTGTATTGTGGGGTAACATTATTGGTGTGTGTTGTGGGGTAACATTACTGGTGTGTGTTGTGGGGTAACATACCAGTGTACATGTGTTGTGGGGTTGTATTACTGGTGTGTGTTGTGGGGTTACATTACTGGTGTGTGTTGTGAGGTTACATTACTGGTGTGTGTTTAGGGTTACATTACTGGTGTGTTGTGGGGTAACATTACTGGTGTGTGTTGTTGGGTTACATTACTGGTGTGTTGTGGGGTAACAATACTGGTGTGTGTTGTAGGTTAACATTACTGCCATGTGTTGTGGGGTAACAATACTGGTGTGTGTTGTGGGGTAACAGTTGTGGGGTTACATTACTGTTGTGAATTGTGGGGTTACATTGCTGTTACATTGTTGGGTAACATTACTGCCGTGTGTTGTGGGGTAACAATACTGGTGTGTGTTGTGGGGTAACAGTTGTGGGGTTACATTACTGTTGTGTATTGTGGGGTTATATTGCTGTTGTGTGTTGTAGGGTCACCTGCCATATGTGGGTATTTTTATAAACCTACCTGTACAGCACTGCCCCCCAACTTATCGTCAAGTTCCACAGCTTTGAGGGCTGCAGTTCCCTTCTCCAGATCACTTGAATGGGTACCCTGTAGATAGATGTAAACTAGAACACTGACAGGTCAGTAAGGGCCCCGTCTTGTGGCAATACATCCCCCATAATCATCAAGAAGCAATCTGCCCATATAGCTGAGCTTGACGTTTGATATTTCAAAAAGAATCGCAAGGAAGCAAAATATACATTTTACATGTACTATGATGTGAGTCTTGTTTCCTTCCACCTCCATATTTGCTGGGCTAACAGAAATGTAAATACCGGTGCAATACTCATTTGTTAGCTTTGATTTGTTTTATTTCACCTTAAATACCTCCTCCATCAAGAGCCAGGGTCAAAGTCAGAGATCCACTTTGTCTTTGACCTTTGGACCCAAATGACATTGACTATTAACCCAGTGACCCTGATCTTTGGTCAGTTGACTTATTTTTTAATTCCGACCAACTTTGCTTCTTAATATCATAACAAAATGTTCATCAGTGAAAAATACAAAACTTGACCTGGACCCTTTGGACCCGGTAATGAACCTGGACCTAAGGTCAGTTGACTCTGTGTTAAGTTCCGAACAACATTGCTTCATAATGTCATAACAAAATGTTCATCAGGGAAAAGGTTCAAAATTTAACCTTCACCTTTGACCCAGTGACCTTGACCTTTAGTCAATTGACTCCTTGTTTAATTCTGAGCTACATTGCTTCAAAGTGTCATAGCGAAATTTTTACCAGTGCAAAGATACGAAATTTAATCTTGACCTTTGACCCAATGACCTTGACCTTTGGTCAGTTGACTCCTTGTTTAATTCTGATCAACTTTGCTTCATGTCATAACAAAATGTTCATCAGTGAAAAGATGCAAATTTGACTTTGACCTTTGAATCTAATGACATTGACCTTTGACCTCAACTTTTGACCTTCGGTCATTTGACTCCTTGTTTAATTCTGATCAACTTTACTTCATAATGTCACCTTCGGTCATTTGACTCCTTGTTTAATTCTGATCAACTTTACTTCATAATGTCATAACAAAATGTTCATCAGGGAAAAGGTGTAAAATTTGACCTTGACCTTTGAACCTAATTACCTTGACCTTTGACCTTGACTTTTTACCATAATGTGTATTTTTGTGAACTGAACATCTTGACCAAGTTTCATGTACATCGGTCAATAAATACCAAAGTTATCAGCCAGGAACAAAATTTGTGGACGGACAGACAGACAGACAGAGTGATAACTATAGGGCACCCGTATCTCCGATACGGGGCCCTAATGATCATAAATGATCACCTTTTTGGGAATGCCAGAGAGATACTATCAGTATAATGAGTTCAAAATATTACAACACGACAATTGTACTTACTGAACATTTTGCAAAGTGCATGACTTCATGGGAGTATGGACAAAGCTCGACTACACAAATAATACGATAGCACACTTTCATAGGAAGCCAAATAATATCAACCTTTGATACCAGCTGGCTTTCTTGTTTTCTTTCATCTAGCTAGGATGACAATGTAAGTCAATGTAATTAACTTTAAACATCTAAATTTACATCTTTTTTGTATTAATGGCTCTCCTCCATATGATCTAAGCTCATTAAAGCTGTAGTGATGAACCCTGAACTGTGATGACAATCTTTACCCTTGATGAACTTTGACCCATGTTCAGCCTTGACCTGTGATGAATCTAACCATGACTAAGCTTGACCTGTGTTCATGGTTTATAATTTGATAGTTACACACATTAAAACTTGTACTCCTAGGAAATAAGAATACTAACAGATCAGCGAGGGCCCTCCTTTATGCCTAACAGTGTATCTCCCGTATAAGCACCAAGCAAGAGCAAAAGTGATCATTGACTGTTCAGACTGTTCTTCACCTTAGGAGTTTATTAAACCACTATTGCATATAATTACAGTGTATCATCATAGGAAATTTCAGACAGTTTGGCCTTCTGTCAGGCCCTAATTATCTGAGGTCTTTTTGACTGTATATTCCTGGTTTTAATTTTAGTAACAATGACTTTGACCTATGAATTATATAATTATTTAAACCACTATTGCATATCTACGTATAATCTCAAAGTATCATCATAAGAAATTTCAGAAAGTTTGACCTTCTGTTAGGGGCTTATATGATATATTTTTGACAGTATTTTCCTAATTCTATTTTTGGTAACAGTGACCTTGACCTCAGGAACCTTTTTAAACCCCTATTACACATCTGCACTTCACAGTGTACCACCATGTGAAATTTCAGAAATTTTGGCCATCTGGATCATGAGATAATCTCTGGAAATGAAAGTGCTGACGGACAGACGGACGGACGGATGGACATCGTGATTACTACAGGGCCCTAATAATCAATATCTATTAAAATTCTGACAAGGGGATCAAGAAAGAAGACTTTCTTGCTTGTAAATGATGAGTTTACCTGCCAGAAGTAGATGATATTTTTCTCACTGCCCGAGTTGTAGGTGTACTGTATGACATAACTGTCCCCACCAAAGAACTCGCCCCAGTACTTCTCCTGTAGGGGAACCAGGTTCTCCCCCTCCACACGCCACACCTACAACAAGATGTATGGAACATCACATAACTAACTAAACAAGGCATCAAAAGCAATACAAATCCCCGCATTCACACATTGTGTGCCATATGTACGAGTAAATGAATAGAAAAGTGAATGATGCAAGCCAGGGTAACTGCTGTAGCGTCTGCTAGACTGCATTCCGTTAAGAAATGAAGTCGAAAGAGCGATGATAAAAAATTACTAAAAATAGTAACAGTGACCTTGAACTTTCACGCAGTAACCTGAAACGCAAATTGTTCAAGGTATTGTCAAACCAAACACTTGTATGAAGTTTCATGAAATTCTGCTAGAGCGATGACAAAGAGTGTAACATATGTACATACCTACGGGCGAAATTTCATTGCGAGGGGATGATTTAACAGGTAATGATGTTTTGGATTCATGTTACTCTCCAAACATCAGATAGGGGTATACATCAATAACTGTTATCATACTCTCCAAACATCAGATAGGTGTACACACCAATTACTGTTATCATACTCACTAAACATCAGATAGGTGTAAACACCAATTACTGTTATCATACTCTCTAAACATCAGATGTGTGTATACAACAATAATTGTTATCATACTCTCCAAACATCAGATAGGTGTAAACACCAATTACTGTTATCATACTCTCCAAACATCAGATAGGGGTAAACACTAATTACTGTTATCATACTCTCCAAACATCATATAGGGGTATACACCAATTACTGTAATCATACTCTCCAAACATTAGATAAGGGTAAACAACAATTACTGTTATCATACTCTCCAAACATCAGATAGGGGTAAACACCAATTACTGTTATCATACTCCCCAAACATCAGATAGGGGTGTACACCAATAACTGTTATCATACTCCCCAAACATCAGATAGGTGTAAACACCAATTACTGTTATCATACTCTCCAAACATCAGATAGGGGTAAACACAAATTACTGTTAACATACTCTCCAAACATCAGATAAGGGTATACACCAATAATAGTTATCATACTCTCCAAACATCAGATAGGGGTAAACACCAATTACTGTTATCATACTCTTCAAACATCAGATAGGTGTAAACACCAATTACTGTTATCATACGCTCCAAACATCAGATAGGGGTAAACACCAATAATTGTTATCATACTCTCCAAACATCAGATAGGGGTAAACACCAATAATTGTTATCATACTCTTTAAACATCAGATAGGTGTAAACACCAATAATAGTTATCATACTCTCCAAACATCAGATAGGGGTAAACACTAATTACTGTTATCATACTCTTCAAACATCAGATAGGTGTAAACACCAATTACTGTTATCATACTCTCCAAACATCAGATAGGGGTATACACCAATAACTGTTATCATACTCTCCCAACATCAGATAAGGGTATACACCAATAATAGTTATCATACTCTCCAAACATCAGATAGGGGTAAACACTAATTACTGTTATCATACTCTTCAAACATCAGATAGGTGTAAACACCAATTACTGTTATCATACTCTCCAAACATCAGATAGGGGTAAACACCAATTACTGTTATCATACTCTCCAAACATCAGATAGGGGTAAACACCAATTACTGTTATCATACTCTCCAAACATCAGATAGGTGTAAACACCAATTACTGTTATCATACTCTCCAAACATCAGATAGGTGTAAACACCAATTACTGTTATCATACTCTCCAAACATCAGATAGGTGTAAACACCAATTACTGTTATCATACTCTCCAAACATCAGATAGGTGTAAACACCAATTACTGTTATCATACTCTCCAAACATCAGATAGGTGTAAACACCAATTACTGTTATCATACTCTCCAAACATCAGATAGGTGTAAACACCAATTACTGTTATCATACTCTCCAAACATCAGATAGGTGTAAACACCAATTACTGTTATCATACTCTCCAAACATCAGATAGGTGTAAACACCAATTACTGTTATCATACTCTCCAAACATCAGATAGGTGTAAACACCAATTACTGTTATCATACTCTCCAAACATCAGATAGGGGTAAACACCAATTACTGTTATCATACTCTCCAAACATCAGATAGGTGTAAACACCAATTACTGTTATCATACTCTCCAAACATCAGATAGGGGTAAACACTAATTACTGTTATCATACTCTTCAAACATCAGACAAGTGTAAACACCAATTACTGTTATCATACTCTCCAAACATCAGATAGGTGTAAACACCAATTACTGTTATCATACTCTCCAAACATCAGATAGGTGTAAACACCAATTACTGTTATCATACTCTCCAAACATCAGATAGGTGTAAACACCAATTACTGTTATCATACTCTCCAAACATCAGATAGGTGTAAACACCAATTACTGTTATCATACTCTCCAAACATCAGATAGGTGTAAACACCAATTACTGTTATCATACTCTCCAAACATCAGATAGGTGTAAACACCAATTACTGTTATCATACTCTCCAAACATCAGATAGGGGTAAACACCAATTACTGTTATCATACTCTCCAAACATCAGATAGGGGTAAACACCAATAATTGTTATCATACTCTCTAAACATCAGATAGGGGTAAACACCAATAATTGTTATCATACTCTCCAAACATCAGATAGGGGTAAACACCAATAACTGTTATCATACTCTCCAAACATCAGATAGGGGTAAACACCAATAACTGTTATCATACTCTCCAAACATCAGATAGGGGTAAACACCAATAACTGTTATCATACTCTCCAAACATCAGATAGGGGTAAACACCAATTACTGTTATCATACTCTCCAAACATCAGATAGGTGTAAACACCAATTACTGTTATCGTACTCTCCAAACATCAGATAAGGGTATACACCAATAACTGTTATCATACTCTCCAAACATCAGATAAGGGTATACACCAATTACTGTTATCATACTCTCCAAACATCAGATAAGGGTATACACCAATTACTGTTATCATACTCTCCAAACATCAGATAAGGGTATACACCAATTACTGTTATCATACTCTCCAAACATCAGATAAGGGTATACACCAATTACTGTTATCATACTCTCCAAACATCAGATAAGGGTATACACCAATTACTGTTATCATACTCTCCAAACATCAGATAAGGGTATACACCAATTACTGTTATCATACTCTCCAAACATCAGATAAGGGTATACACCAATTACTGTTATCATACTCTCCAAACATCAGATAAGGGTATACACCAATTACTGTTATCATACTCTCCAAACATCAGATAAGGGTATACACCAATTACTGTTATCATACTCTCCAAACATCAGATAGGGGTATACACCAATTACTGTTATCATACTCTCCAAACACTAGATAGGTGTAAACACCAATTACTGTTATCATACTCTCCAAACATCAGATAGGTGTAAACACCAATTACTGTTATCATATTCTCCAAACATCAGATAAGGGTATACACCAATAACTGTTATCATACTCTCCAAACATCAGATAATGGTATACACCAATTGCTGTTATCATACTCTCCAAACATCAGATAGGTGTAAACACCAATTACTGTTCAGGCTTATCATTGAGATTTTATTGCATTCAAAGAGACCTCGACTCAGACAGGTTTACTTATTGATGAAGAACCCGAACTGAGAGACATTCAAATACACTAGCAGACTGTTTAGTGTGTATCTGTACCGCGACACGTCCAGACCCATCGTCTACCATCTGGGTCTCTGCAGCCAGTTGAGGGTTGGAGTGCAGTGTGGATGCATCAAACTTGGTCTGAACAGTCTTGGCTGTAGAATAAAATTTTAGTTATCATTAGAAATCTAATCATAACACAAGCAATTTTACAGGTCTTTTAGTAGTGTAATTTTATTTTCTTATTGTTGCATTTTCAAGATTATTAAGAAAATAAAAATAAAATTATAACATGTGATTAATGTCACATGTTATAATTACCGCTTTACAATGGTTGTTTGAGGAAGATTTGAACAAAACTCCGGGCAGGTAACATATTTTATAGATTTCATCATTCGGGAGTCAAAATTGTGTAACTGCAGTATGCCAGTACTGACAAAACATGTTATTGTCTCCATCTCCATCTCCTCCTCAAATCTTACGACTCAGGAATGATGTTGGCGGCAACCACGCTGTGTGCAATCAGCGGATGCAAAATGGGTTTCAAGATTTTATTCTAATCCCTCGGAAAGTTCTGTCATTAATCTTTTCTTTATCAATAAACGGCTGACATAGATGATTACAAAACATTTTCAACCGTCTTTGCAGTGATATTCTGATACCCAAAGTAGCTTTGTGTAAGGAAGTCAGTGTACATAAAACGAAATTTAGCAATAATAAAAGGCAAATATCATACCTTTCCATTGGTGTATAGAATCTGAATGTATATATATGCGATATCAGTGTCTGACGAAATTACTGAAATAAATATGCACCCAACAAAACAGCAATAAAAATATTTTACTGACCCTATTACTGACCTGACCCTATTACTGACCCTATTACTGACCTGACCCTATTACTGACCCTATTACTGACCTGACCCTATTACTGACCTGACCCTATTACTGACCCTATTAGTATTGTTTTGGCCAATCATGTAGTTGGAAACAGACGTATGTTTTTGTTTGCCTTACTTCTTCTGATTCATGCATTAAACAATTCACAAACGAGTACATAACAAGAGGCCCAGAGGGCCTGTATCGCTCACCTGAATATGTTTAAAATAATTGGTATGAAGTAAAGATATAGCACTCAATGGTAGGTGCTGTAAGTACATATGAAATTTCAGAAAGATCCATCCAGTACTTGAGATATAGCGAGAGAAAACTTTAAACAGGGCCCCACCCTTCTGCCCCCTGGGAGACCACACCCACTGCTTATACAAAATTGAGTTCCCTTGGCCGAAGGATGCACCAGACTAAATTAGGATAAAATCCCTTAATCCCTATGGTAGAAGAAGGATTATAAAGATTTAGCATTTAGCTCTATTTCCCCTATTGGGCCCCACCCCTCAGTTCCCAGGGGGGTCACACCCACCATTTATACAAAACCTAGGATGCTTCTGACCAAATATGGTACAAATCTTTTCATTCCTTCAGAAGGATTTTGAAGAATTTGCTATATTTCTCCTATTGGGCCCCGCCCCTCAGCCCCCAGGGGGGCCACACCCACGGTTTATATAAAATTGGTTCCACTTTCCCAAAGGATGATTCTGACCAAATATGGAACAAATCTTTTCATTCCTACAGAAGAAGAAGGATTTTAAAGAATTTGCTATATTTCTCCTATTGGGCCCCGCCCCTCAGCCCCCACATTTCATATTAGGCTACAATGTAATTTAGAAGAGTTATGGCCCTTACACCAATTTGGATTATGTATTGTAAAACACAAAATGTGAATTCTTGTCCAAGATGAGCGTGTAATATTCCTAAATTGTTTTAGTTTCATAAACAAGAGGCCCAAGAGGGCCTGTATCGCTCACCTGAATATGTTTAAAATAATTGGTATGAAGTAAAGATATAGCACTCAATGGTAGGTGCTGTAAGTACATATGAAATTTCAGAAAGATCCATCCAGTACTTGAGATATAGCGAGAGAAAACTTTAAACAGGGCCCCACCCTTCTGCCCCCTGGGAGACCACACCCACTGCTTATACAAAATTGAGTTCCCTTGGCCGAAGGATGCACCAGACTAAATTAGGATAAAATCCCTTAATCCCTATGGTAGAAGAAGGATTATAAAGATTTAGCATTTAGCTCTATTTCCCCTATTGGGCCCCACCCCTCAGTTCCCAGGGGGGTCACACCCACCATTTATACAAAACCTAGGATGCTTCTGACCAAATATGGTACAAATCTTTTCATTCCTTCAGAAGGATTTTAAAGAATTTGCTATATTTCTCCTATTGGGCCCCGCCCCTCAGCCCCCAGGGGGGCCACACCCACGGTTTATACAAAATTGGTTCCACTTTCCCAAAGGATGATTCTGACCAAATATGGAACAAATCTTTTCATTCCTACAGAAGAAGAAGGATTTTAAAGAATTTGCTATATTTCTCCTATTGGGCCCCGCCCCTCAGCCCCCACATTTCATATTAGGCTACAATGTAATTTAGAAGAGTTATGGCCCTTACACCAATTTGGATTATGTATTGTAAAACACAAAATGTGAATTCTTGTCCAAGACGAGCGTGTAATATTCCTAAATTGTTTTAGTTTCATAAACAAGAGGCCCAAGAGGGCCTGTATCGCTCACCTGAATATTTAAGCAGTCATAGCAAAATATTCTCATTAAATATTATATTGCACTAAAAATATTTCCCTCGCAAACTTCATTGGCTCCATCTGTTGAAACTACCAGCAAAATATTATTATAAGATTCTATGCTTTTTGATTCTACAGAAGTTGCTTGACATATTTTTCCCTGTGACCTTGTTAGTAGGTAAATGTCATTTTCCTTCTCAAATTGGTAAGCTCTGTTCCAAAAGCTACCAGCCAAATCTTATGAATCCATTCCTTTTTTGTTCTTAAGAACAAATCCATTAAAATGTTGTTGACCTCTGTGACCTCTAAAGTAGGTTGAGGTCATTTTCATTTGCAAACTTTGGTGAGCTCTATCCCAGGAAGTCACCAGCCAAATATTAAGATTTTATACCTTTCAGTTCTTCAGAAGAAGTTGTTCAAAGCGTTAGTCATATCTGACTCCTGTGACCTTGAAGGTAGGTCAAGGTCACTTTCATTCGTAAACTTTGTTCGGCTCTTTCCTAGGAAATAACCAGCCAAATTTTAAGTTTCTATAACTTCCAGTTCTTCAGAAGAAGTCTTTGAAGTGTTTGACATATCTGCCTCATGTGACCTTAAAAGTAGGTCAAGGTCATTTTCATTCTCAAACTTTGTTTAAAGGAAAAGTTGACGGACAAGGATGGACGGACGTACGGACGTCGCACCACGACATAAGCTCACTTGCATTTCGGGCAGGTGATATAATAAATGAACTTGAATCAAACATTCTACTGACATCAACGGTTCATTTAGAATACCACAGTAGACTCCTGACAGTCGGACTGTGTACAAGATACACATGCTTACAACTTGTTATTATCATTATTTTTATTTGGGAAAGAACAGAGGACTTGATATAAGCTGGTGAGTGGCCTAGCTTCTTACTTTCTCTTTATGATAACTTAACTATAGAAAATAAAAACATGCGCGTGCACCACACGACTTCCGTCTACAACCACTAACAAAATAAACAAGAGGGCCCATGGGCTTAACGGTGCCATTAGTGCGAGGTCCTTCAGTCAATTATCACTACCAAGTTTGAGTAAAACTAGAGAAGTGTGTAACAAATGAATGCCCTTTGCCACAGAAAATGTATCTCACTGTTTGACAATTTTCTATAAATAGTACCGGTGACCTTGACCTAGTAAATAGTTTTTCATAATGGCAGCCGTGGCGGCCATAAGTCGTCCATTCATGTCAATGTTCCAGTTAAATATGAGCTCATTAGAACTTTGCTTTAAGTTTGAAATAGTTTTTTAAAATGGTGGCCTTGGCGGCCATATCAGATTTCTATTTTTCACCCGAAAAAATAAGAAAAACTTTTACATAAAGTAAATCTGTTGAGCGGTTTGTCAGATAACTTGTACATAAGCTTTTCACTTTGAAAGTGATCAAGCGTGACCTTTGACCTTTAAATCTTTACTGCTGACAACCAAAATCTTATAAAGTGTAGAACTTCATGAACTAAATTTACACTAAAAATCTCATGAAATTTATTTTCATGAGATACCTTGTACACAAGCCTTTTACTACATTGGTGACCACACTGGCTCTACTAGAAAGCTAGCCTCCATTTCTATGATTTTTCTATTGTTCCCTTTTCAGGCTTGTTCTGACTAACCTATTTTGTTGCGGTTGTAAGTTTTTCCAGTTGACTTTGGCTGTGGCCAGTTACTGAACAGCCACTGGAACTCGACAGGCTCGGCCCACTGGGAAATTGTGGTGACTTGTGTGTTGAGGTTCATCCCTTTCTTGTTCAGAAATCCCTACAAAATACCACAAATGTTAACAAGACAAGTTATAAAACATAAATACAGCCAAACTGTCCCAAATAGGGAAAAATTTAATATGAGTACAGACAATAACATCAACAATGTCTCAACATCTAAAATATGCTCATCATCAGCACTATGTCAACTACAGTCATACCCCTCCTCACACTGTACTCACCACAGCTACAGGCATACCCCTCCTCCCTCTGTACTATCCATAGCTACAGTCATACCCCTCCTCACACTGTACCTACAGTCATACCCCTCCTCACACTGTACTCCCCACAGCTACAGTCATGCCTCTCCTCACACTGTACTAACCATAGCTAGTCATACTTCTCCTCACACTGTACTAACCATAGCTACATTCATACCTCCTCACACTGTACTCACCATAGCTACAGTCATACTTCTCCTCACACTGTACTAACCATAGCTATTCATACCTCTCCTCACACTGTACTAACCATAGCTATTCATACCTCTCCTCACACTGTACTAACCATAGCTATTCATACCTCTCCTCACACTGTACTAACCATAGCTACAGTCAAACCTCTCCTCACACTGTACTAACCATAGCTAGTTATACCTCTCCTCACACTGTACTAACCACAGCTACAGTCATACCTCTCCTCTCTCTGTACTCACCACAGCTACAGTCATACCTCTCCTCACAATGTACTAACCATAGCTACAGTCATACCCCTCCACACTCTGTACTCACCACAGCTAGTCATACCCCTACTCACACTGTACTCACCATAGCTACAGTCATCCCTCTCCTCCCACTGTACTAACCATAGCTAGTCATACTTCTCCTCACACTGTACTAACCATAGCTACATTCATACCTCCTCACACTGTACTCACCATAGCTACAGTCATCCCTCTCCTCACTCTGTACTAACCATAGCTAGTCATACCTCTCCTCACCCTGTACTCACCACAGCTACAGTCATACCTCGCCTCACACTGTACTCACCACAGCTACAGGCATACCCCTCCTCCCTCTGTACTATCCATAGCTACAGTCATACCATAACCATAGCTACAGTCATACCTCTCCCCACACTGTACTAACCATAGCTAGTCATACTTCTCCTCACACTGTACTAACCATAGCTAGTCATACCTCTCCCCACACTGTACTAACCATAGCTAGTCATACCTCTCCCCACACTGTACTAACCATAGCTAGTCATACATCTCCTCACACTGTACTAACCACAGCTAGTCATACCTCTCCTCACACTGTAGTCACCATAGCTACAGTGATACCTCTCCTCACTCTGTACTCACCAAAGCTAATCCTACCTCTCCTCACTCTGTCCTCACCACAGCTACAGTCATACCTCTCCTCCCACTGTACTAACCATAGCTAGTCATACCTCTCCTCACCCTGTACTCACCACAGCTACAGTCATACCCCTCCTCACTAACCATAGCTACAGTCATACCTCTCCCCACACTGTACTAACCATAGCTACAGTCATCCCTCTCCTCCCACTGTACTAACCATAGCTAGTCATACTTCTCCTCACACTGTACTAACCATAGCTATTCATACCTCTCCTCACACTGTACTAACCATAGCTATTCATACCTCTCCTCACACTGTACTAACCATAGCTACATTCATACCTCCTCACACTGTACTCACCATAGCTACAGTCATATCCCTCCTCACACTGTACTCACCACAGCTACATTCATACCCCTCCTCACACTGTACTCACAACAGCTAGACATACCTCTCCTCACTCTGTACTCACCAAAGCTAATCCTACCTCTCCTCACTCTGTCCTCACCACAGCTACAGTCATACCTCTCCTCACACTGTACTCACCACAGCTACAGTCATACCCCTCCTCACTCTGTACTATCCATAGCTACAGTCATACCACTCCTCACACTGTACTAACCATAGCTACAGTCATACCTCATCTCACTCTGTACTCACCATAGCTAGTCATACCCCTCCTCACTCTGTACTCACCATAGCTACAGTCATATCCCTCCTCACACTGTACTCACCACAGCTAGTCATACCTCTCCTCACACTGTACTCACCACAGCTACAGTCCTACCTCTCCTCACAATGTACTCACCACAGCTACATTCATACCCCTCCTCACACTGTACTCACCACAGCTAGTCATACCCCTCCTCACACTGTACTCACCACAGCTAGTCATACCTCTCCTCACGCTGTACTCACCACAGCTACAGTCATACCTCTCCTCACTCTGTACTCACCACAGCTACAGTCATACCCCTCCTCACACTGTACTCACCATAGCTAGTCATACCTCTCCTCACACTGTACTAACCATAGCTACAGTCATACCTCTCCTCACACTGTACTCACCATAGCTACAGTTATACCTCTCCTCAAACTGTACTCACCACAGCTAGTCATACCCCTTCTCACACTGTACTCACCATAGCTACAGTCATACCTCTCCTCACTCTGTACTCACAATAGCTACAGTCATACCCCTCCTCACACTGTACTAACCATAGCTACAGACATACCCCTCCTCACACTGTACTAATCATAGCTCCAGTCATACACCTCCTCACACTGTACTAATCATAGCTACAGTCATACCCCTCCTCACACTGTACTAACCATAGCTACAGTCATACCCCTCCTCACACTGTACTAATCATAGCTACAGTCATACACCTCCTCACACTGTACTCACCACAGCTAGTCATACCTCTCCTCACACTGTACTCACCAAAGCTTGTCATACCTCTCCTCACTCTGTACTTACCATAGGTAGTCAAACCCCTCCTCACACTGTACTCACCACAGTTACAGTCATACCCCTCCTCACACTGTACTCACCACAGCTACAGTTATACCTCTCCTCACACTGTACTAACCATAGCTACAGTCATACCTCTCCTCACACTGTACTCACCACAGCTAGTCATACCTCTCCTCACTCTGTACTCACCA